CAAACCACACGGAGGAATTTAGGGATTCTTATAATTAAAGAAAGAGAAATAGACATTTTCGGGAAAATATATGTCTTTCAAAACTTTTAATTGAAAATAACGAGAAATATCCTTTTTAAGCTATATCAATTACTAGTAATAATATTTTTTTGCGTTTGAAAAATATAAGGTACTTGTATTTACTTGTATTTAAAAACATTATACTATTTAATTAATATACATAAATTTCTCAGTTTTCTTTTTCTTTACCTTTTTTTATAGCTTCAAATTATTTCAAAATTACTTTACTAGATGAGCAATTGTTAGGTATATTATATAAGTAATTTATATTATTAACATGATTTTATTTGTTTAGAATTTTCTTCACATAGTGAGTGCAAGTATTTATTTTTAAAATATAAGAAGTGTATAGAACCTAATTCCGTGTTCCGAGACCTTCAAAACTTCATTTTATTTCTCCTTTGATTTGTGTGCGCAGTCCGGACGCGTTTTCGAAAAGTCTTTTGTGTGGAAATTTGAGAAAATAATAAGTTTTACCTTTAAAAGTTGATTTTAGTTGACTTCGGTCAACATTTTGAATAAACGGACCCGGACCTGTATTTTGACGGTCCCGGAAGGTCCGTAGTAAAATATGGGACCTGGGCGTATGCCCGAAATTGGTTGATGGTGGTGGTTCACGCTAGTAGCTAGCAGTGATTGGTAGTGGTAGCGATTACGATTGAGGATGGTGGTGGTGGGTGGTGATAGTTAATAATAGCGGGTGGTGGTAGTAGTTGTGACAGAGGAAGGTGATGGGTGGGTGGAGGTAGGTTATAATGATAGGCAGTGCTGGTTGTGGTTGTTGATGGTGATGAAGTGGTCAGTTGTGGTAGTTGAGGTGGATGAGTGTTGATTGTGGGTGAGAATGATTGTGGTCGGAGTGGTGGAGATAGTGGGTGGTGTTGGTCGATAATGGTGGCAGCTATGATCAAGGATGATGGTGGCGCGGTGGTGGTGGAGGTTGAGTATGGTGGTGGTGGTGGCTTGGTGGTAGTTGATTGTGGCGGCAGTTAATAATAAATATGTGATAGCATCTTAATGAAATTAAGTCTCTGTTATAGATATTTATCATACAGACATACTCAGACCCATTAAGTGGTTGTGAAGTAAAAAAAACAAACACACTTAATGATTAAGATGTGAATAATTAAGATTCAGACTTTAAAAACAAACGCACTTAATGTCTGAGATCTAAATGATTAAGATTCAGACCTCCATTAAGTGCAAACAAACGAGACCTAAGTAAATTTGAAGAAAGTCAAATTTAAACTTGTTTTATGCTCCTAATTAAGCAAAGTATACTAGAATATGAATTAAATAAATAATAATTTAATTTTAACATAAGAATAAATTTGAGAAAATAAATAACTTATACTAGATTAATTGATCATTAGATATATAAGAATTATGTAAAGTTGAATAATTTTAATTAAATATATAATATTAAGTATAAGTTATAAAGTAAAACAAATAAATGAACAATGAAATTGAAATAATATAAATTAAGAAGTACAAAAGTTATAATTTTATAATCGAAGAATTTAACAGGAGAAAATATTTAACATCGTTGAAAAGAAAATTTATGATGAATTTTATTTTTGATATATTATTTTAACGTGTAATCAAACCTTCAAAATCACACAAATTTAAAATAGTCAATACACTAATCTAACTGTGATTAGTTTACATGATTTATTATTTCAAAATTAAGACATAAATTTGTATGCATTTAAATTAAATATAGAACAATATATTAAACATTTAGAGGTAAAAGAGTAAATGAACAATAAAATAAAAAAATTGTACAAAATTGAACCCCACTAATAATTTGAACTCTTGAATTAGATGTTTTAAATAATAGTACTATTCAGGTCATCAATAAAGTTCCCTTGAGTTACATTATTAAATTATATTGTTGACAACAGTATTACTACTATTTTTTTCAACCATAAAGTGCTATTGCTTAAAAATGTTTTGCTGATTGAAATTTCCCAATTTTATGCAAAATTGAGGCGGGAGGACTTCCCTCTCTTTTTTTCGTTTTCTGTTGAATCCTTCTCCCTCTTTTGTCCCAAGCCCTTTCCCAATTCCACCATATGCTTCAACCAAAGCACCGAAGTATGAGTGTCTGGCCTTCCCTCGACCAAAAATTAGGGCTTGAAATGGTAAGCTTCTTCTCCTCTTGTTTCAAGGTTAGGATTTAATTTAATTTTCATGTAAATTTATAAAAAATTTGTTAGATTTGCTACACTTTGGGTACCAATGGATCCTTATACTTCCGCATTCCAATGATTTGTCACTGGCGGAATAACTTCATGACTTACTGTCAAATTTGAAAAATTTCCAGTTAAAATAGAAAATACAATTACCAGAATATATTAGGTTTATCTTGGTTGAGCGTTCCCAACTACATACCTCTTGACATGTTTCTTCCTAAACTTTTTCAAGCACTTCGACGATTAAATTTCTGAAGTTGAAAAGCTTTTTAATTTGGAATTTGTCTATTATACTATACTTTGTTTTCTCTAAGTTGTAATTATTTATCTAGGGACATGTATGTATCTAATTTATAGGTGTTGTATGTTTTAGCAAATCTCAGCTTAACAGAATTTTATTGTTATAGCGCTAGAATGAAAAGCCTTTCATTCCTTGTTTATGTGATTTACTTTGCATTGTTGAAGTTTTCTTCTTACTTATTCGTTAAATTTTTTCTTTTTCATCGAACATATTAACAATTTGTTAAATCTTATGTGCAGGGGCGAGGGCCTAATATTGAGGTTAGATTCTTAATATAACTTCAATTGAATGACCTTTTATGTTTAGAGTTTTTGTGTGTTTGTCCTATAAGCTCGTTGCAGATAAATATCCTTTTTAGTAATCCTGTATGACTTGGGATATGTTTAAGACAGTAATAATTTTATATAACACGAAAACTCTGGCCTAGGCATCTTTTGCTTCTCTTTTGGATTGACAGCTTAATATCAGCTATGCCATATACTATTTTGTTCTTTTCTAGGGAGATGCGGTGGGTGGAGTGGGGTGAAGAATAGTTAAGCTTAACTAGCATTTTATGGTAGAGGGGCCAAAGTCGATTTTTTTCAACAAATGCATCAAAGAAGTACCATGGCTATTCTAGAAACTAGAACACATGTGCTGCCACTGAAATTTTATATGCACTCATTTGGGATCCTGGACTTCACTGTGTTAATTCTAGAGGCTATTTCTTTTTGGTATTCACTAAGTAGAAAGAGATGGTTTGGGAACACTTTTGAACTGTGCACCTATCTCCGTTTTCCCTTATAATTGAAGTTGGATGCATATTAAAATGATGGGACATACTGATGTTCAGAATAAGTTATGGTTTATTCTTAGTGAGGAGCTAAACTGGTAAAATTAACTATTAGATATATGTGCTAATATGAACTTTCTACATTTGAAATTTTCACTTGAATAAGTGGACTTAATATTTCCTAACTGGCTATTGATACATTTTTCTAATGAAGAGGTGATTTTCTTTACTATAATTGCCTTCTCTCCGCTTAATCTTTTTTTGTATAAATAATATTTAGCATATTTTCATCTTAAACTCTTAAATGATATTCACTAATCCCTTTATCTTAAGAATGGCGCCTACATATAGTATTATTCTGTTGAAAAGTCTCAGAGTAGCTTGTATATATATGGTAGCTCTTTCCATATGCATCACTAGTACATGTATTCTTATGTTGAGATTAATTTTTTTTGTCATTAACAAATAAGGAGATTGTATATTTACTTTAATTAGAGATGAGAAAATGTAAAATGGTTATAAAATCTTTTTATACTAGAATATTTTAATGGTGAACTCTTAATTACTCCACAGAGGGACATGCAAGGGTATCAACATTCTGTAGTAGTACTACATTTGAACTTTAATTTTTCCTTACTCTACCATGCATCTTGTTCAACAAATCTATTGTTGCATCCCAGTGAGACTGTTAGATTGTTAACTCATCTCCTTTGTATTCCCCTACTGTTGTTAACGTTATCCTACTTTTCCGTAGTTCCTTAAATTGCTGATCAAAGCAGCATCTAGAATTCAATTGGATGCAGCATTATGCTAATGAGGAGCTATTTTCTCTAACTTCAATCAAGGTATGTTCTCACTTCACAATGCTTACTCTGTTGCTCCATAACAAATGTAACATGTATTCAAATAGAGAATATTTTTTCTTGAATTTGGTTCATCTAAAAACTTCAAACATTGCTCTTATGGTATTTTTCAGTTCTAATGTGTAAAAGATAATACAAGTTGTATGTCATGGTTACAAAATTTATGGTCTGATTAGTTCCTGAAAATTTCCTCTCTAGTATTTCATGTCACAAATTTTGATACTATTGGAAATGTAACTAGTTATTTTGAAAAATATGATAAATTTAAAATGGAGAATATTTTATATGATTACAGTATAATGATGCTTGCTTATTTCCCAATTGAGGATTTGTGTCTCTGTATTTTTTGATTGGTAAAGAGGATGTTTTTGGATTATAGATATGTCAATTCTCTTTTTGTTGTTGTTTAAGCATTATCGCCATTGTGAAATTTTGACATATTTCAGTTTCAACTAAATGAAGGTTCTTTTATGTAAGAGCAACATCTTATTTGTAAAATAATTAGATGCTCTTGTAATGTTACCATTTTCAAAAGAATAATAATTAGTTGTTCTTGTTGTCTGCAAGCTTAGATTAGTAACACTAATATATAAGTACTAAGTAAACTCATTAAGTAGCCTTGTTAGTATATCTCAGACTAATGCTAATATTTGATGGTTACATGAAACTATGTTAGTGAAGTCTTAAGATCTTGTTGAATTTTTACCAACATCCAGTTTCCATTGTATGTGCAACCTTTTTCTTCTGCATTTGATTGTTTTGATAAATTATAATTTGATTACTATTAGAATTTTCTAATTTCTTTCTCTCTTTTGATCCTTTGTATTTTTTTTAATATAGGAAGGATAAAGTTCTCCAACAACAGGAATCAAACTCAACCACAGACTAGTAGGAGTTTGAAGGCAAAGGGATAGTTTGGAGACATTTTATGTTATTTTTGGGTCATGTATATATACAAAAAAAAATGTATTGTAATGTATATTTGAATACCTTGTGTTGTTTGACTTTTTAGCAATGAAAAGTTCTTATATACTTTTATTTCTTGTAACTGCCTTATTGACTATAAATTAACTTTGTATTTTATAACAACTGTAATTGTCATTAATCATGATAATTTATAGTGACAATTTTATTTTGTCATTAAAAGCGATGTTTTTAGTGATGAAATGATTGTGTTAGCTACAAAATTGTAAGCCAATTTTATTAAAGCAAATTCGTCACTAATTTTTATATTTAGGGACGAACTACCTTTTTGTATATAATATGTAGTTTTAATGACGAAATTACATTTGTTCAACTACAAAATACATCTAACTTTAGAGACAAATAATATTGTCACTAATTAAACTAAATAGTTAGTGACAAAGTAGTTTTGTCGCTATTAATGACCTCTTTAGTGACCAAAACGTACTATCAACTACAACTTTTTTGTACTTTTTTTGACAAATAAGTTCGTCACAAATACTATACATTTACGGACGAAAATCAATTTCGTAGTTAATATAACTTTATTTAGTGAAAAATCACTAAATTGTCTTTGTATACCTTTAGTGACACGCTTTTAAGGACGAATGATTGACGAATTTTTTTTCGTCAAAAAAAGTTTTTTGTGACGAAATATGAATTTTAGGTGACAAAATAATTTGTCACTAATAATAGAATTGTTGTAGTGAGAGCTAGCTTTAGTCCTGCAATTACGGCCTCGTACTCGGCCTCATTGTTGGTCATATCGGGGTACCATATGGACTAGTAGATGACTTCGCCTATTGGGATCTCGAGTATGAGTCCCAATCCAGATCCTGACGCGTTGGAAGCGCCATCAGTGTATAGGACCCACAGGTCGATTAACCTGGGAGAGGTACGAGAAGTTTCCTGCTAGACCTCAGGCATTATTTTGGCACTAAAATCGATGACAAAGTCAGCGAGTACCTATGATTTTATCGCTATTCGCAACTGATATGTTATATCGTGCTCACTCAATTCTATGGCCCACTTGGCCAATCTCCCCGACAACTTGGGTTTATGTAGGATGCTCCTTAGGGGGAAGGTCGTGACCACCGATATGGGGTGACATTGAAAATAAGGTCTAAGATTTCGTGAAACTACGACAAATGCCAAGGCCTACTTTTCGAGGTGGGGTACCTTGTTTCGGCGTCAACCATGGTTTTGCTAATGTCATAGATTGGAGATTGCGTACCTTTGTTTTCACGGACCAGCACCACACTTATTGCAACCTCTGATACGGCCAAGTATATCAGGAGGCGCTCGCTGGGTTCTGCTTTGGCGAGTAGCGAGGGCGAGGGTGAGCATGCCTTTATTCTCTTAAGGCCTCAATGCATTCTGAATTCCACTGGAGTCCATTGTCCTTTTTAAGCACGTTGAAGAATTTGTGGCATATGTCAGAGGATCGTGAGATGAACCTTGACAGGGCAGCTATACAGCCTATCAGTTTTTGTACTTGTTTCTTGTGGTCAATACTTCGGGTATTCCCTCGATGGCTTTGATCTGGTCGGGGTTGACCTCGATGCCTCTTTGTGACATCAGAAAGCCGAGGAACTTGCCTGAGGTTACGCCGAAGGCACACTTTTCGGGGTTCAGCTTCATGCTGTATCGCCTTAGTATATCGAAGGCTTCCTTCAGATGGTCGATGTGGTCTTCCTTCCTTTTTGATTTGACCAACATATCATCTATGTAAACTTCTATTGTTTTGCCGAGTTGGTCCTTGAACATCTTGGTAACCATCCTTTGATAAGTTGCCCATGCGTTCTTCAATCCGAATGACATGACTCTGTAGCAGTACATCCCCTGATAGGTAATGAAAGTGGTATTTTCCTGGTCCTCCTCCTCCATAAGGTTTTGGTTGTAACTTGAGGAGGCGTCCAAGAAACTTAACAACTCGTGCCCTGCCGTTGCATTGATGAGTTGATTGATGTGAGGCAACGGAAAGGAGTCTTTCGGGCAGGCCTTGTTTAGGTCCATGAAATCCACGCATATCCGCACTTTCTATTTTTGTTTTTCACCATGACCATGTTGGTGACCCATTGGGGGTATTTTGACTCTCGGATGGAGCCGTTAGCGAATAGTTTTTCCATCTCATCACGGACGGCCTCGTTGATTGCAACATTGAATTTTCTTCTTATTTGTCGTACAGAAGGGTAGAGTGGATCGATGTTCAACTTGTGTATGGCAATGTCTTTCGGGATACCTGGCATATCTGCATGGGAGAAAGCAAATAGATCGGTGTTGTCAATTAAAAATTTATGAAATTTACCTGGTTTTGAGAGTTTATGGCCGATATAAGCTTTTTTGTTATGGTCGTTGTTGTCTAGTTGGACGGGGTCGAGGTCTTCTACCATTGACCTTGTGGCTTTCACGACATCGGGATCCTTGATAAAGTCTTTTTGTTCATTGAATTCGGCCTCGACTTTGGTAATTGCTATGCTCTCGAGCCTATTCCCTTTAACTGTTGACTGTATGTACAATCTTGGGCGATGCAGTAGCATTCTTGGGTTGTGAGTTGTCTGCCTCGGATGCTGAATATCCCCCACAGAGTAGGAAACTTGATTACTTGATATAAGTTGGACGGGATGGCCCTCATGGCGTGTATCCAGGGTCGCCCTATGATGGCGTTGTAAGATGTGTCCTGATTCATGACATGAAACGTTGTTTCTATGGTGACGCCCCTGGCTAGAACTGGCAGCGTTATCTCTCCTGAGGTTCGCTCAACTGCATTGTTAAAACCTGTTAGCGTTATGCAGCGTGGTACTATCTTGTTATCGAGTCTCATTTGTGCGAGAACTCGAGGGTGAATAATACACGTACCGTTCCCATCATCTACCATTATTCTTTTTACATCAATATCTGAAATACGTAAAGTAATGACAAGAGCATCGAATTGAGTAAAGGTCAAACCATGGGTATCTGACTTATCGAAGAAGATACTATCTTCGAGGTCATCATACCGTTCATGGGTGATTGACCGTTTCAATTTATGTGTGGTGGTGAACTTAACGTGATTGATTACTGCTTCGTAGCCTTCACTGACAATCATTTGGATGGTGCGGGCAGGGGATGGTGGCTTTGGAGGGACGAGGGGTTGTTCTTGTCCGTGGCCGAAGTTGGCTCTTCCTCGGTCGCTCATCAGCTCCCTTAGGTGTCCTTGGTGAAGCATGTTCACCACTTCTTGCCATAGGGCTATGCAGTCTTCGGTTTTGTGACCCCGCTCCTGATGAAACTCACAGAGGGCATTCGACTTTCTGGTACTTGGGTCGGACTTCATCTTTTGTGGCCACTTCACCTTCGGGCCGAGTTTCTCTAGTGCGTACACTATTTCTGAAGGGGAAACACAAAAATTGTAAGAAGATAAGAGTAGAGGCATACCTCTTTCATTTCGTTGAGTCCCTGTATATGGCCTGGACGACCCTTCTGTATGGCGAGGAGATGGTGGGATGGCTGTTCTGACATATGGTTGGTGCCTGTCCCGGTTGAGGCGTGGACCTGAATGGTCTCTTTGGCCATCATTACGGCGGTCTTTCCTCAACTCCGTTTGGACTGACGTTAGCCGTTGGGTTGGACCGTTGAGGTCATCCTCGTCTGCTCTCACCTCGGTGCAATAGGCGTTGTGAATTTCTTCACAAGTGGTGGGAGAGTATTTCATGAGTCTGCTTAACAACTTTCTGGTCGCCCTAGACCCATTCCTGTTCAACCCATTTTGGAAAGCTGCCACCGCCATCCCTTCTGATACGTTTGGCAAGCTCATTCTTACTTTGTTGAGCCGGGCGAGGAAGTCCCTGAATCCCTCGCCAGGCGATTGTCTAACGGCGAATATGTTATTCACCCTAGCATCCGCCTTCTTAGCCCCGACATGGGTAGTGAAAAACTTGTCAGCCATTTCCTCGAACGTTGTTATTGAACGTGCTGGTAATTATGAGTACAATGTTAAGGCTCCCCCTGTTAGGGTTTTGCCGAACTTCTTCAGCAACACTGATGGTACCTGCTCTTTTGAGAGGTCGTTGCCTTTTACTACTGTGACGTAATGAATGATGTGATCTTCGGGGTCTGTTGTGCCGTCGTATATCTTCAAATATGGTAGCATTTTGAAGGTCTTGGGTATGGCGTGTGGGGCTACCTCCTCGCTGTATGGTTGTTCGACGAACCGACCGACGTCCCATTTTGGTAGCAGTTTCAGGGCACCCGGTATCTTATCAACCCTTTCGTGATGCTCCCTCATTTGGTCGCAGAATGCTTTATTCTCGTTCTCCATTTCTTCCATTTTCTTTAGAACGGCCGCAAGTGCATCATTACCTGCATCAACAACAGTGTTAGTGTTACTTGTTGGGAGAGGAGTGGGAGTAGGTTGCTCGTTGGCGGTTGCTGTGGTATCCGCTCGTGCGGCGCTTCTATTCGCCCCTTGAACGGGTTTGTCGAGTATGTTGTTTAGAGTACTTGTCAACCACGCCTCCAGTAGTTTTTTCGCTGCTGGTAGCGCTTCCTTTACGAGGGGGAGGTGAGTCACTCCGCCTGGGTGTAGTGCTCGGCGTCACATTCTCCTCGTCTTCTTTGTCAACCTCGTCGATGGTGTTCAAGAGGTTGGCAGTGACGTCCACTACTGCTTTCAGTCTTTCATTTCCTTTTCCTGCCATTGTTAGTTCGTGCAAACAAGAAAAAGATGGCTGCTGTGGTTTTTTTTTGATCTAGAAGAAACTAAAATTATAACTAGAAACTCTCCACAGAACAAAATTGTTTTACCAAAAAAGTGTTAAACCTTTTCTTAAAATGAATTAATAAGAAAACATGGGGTGAATCCTAGTTAAATAAAATAACTACTAGATCTGCAGACTTAATGCATTAACGATGTAGGATAATGTCCGATAATATCGAATGCCGATTAAGAGTGCTCAATGATTGTCAATGAATGCAATAAAGACAGTCTGCAATGAATGTAGATAATGGCAATAAATATAATAAGAAAGAACTTATCACCCAAATATTAGATGACTTGTATGATTCTCCTTCCTGACAACAACGTGGGGACAATATAAAATGAAGGTGGACAAGAGATCCTTGGATCTTGTGAGTAAAAGATATATGTTGAATAATGGAATCAATGGACAAGACAAGCTTTGTATATTCTCTGTGATC